GAGGCAATATTATTAGTGAGCACTTCAGCCGTAGGATGCATATAGAGCAACTTAATCCATTGACAAAAATTATCACCAAGTCCAAATCTTTTAAGGACCTCAAATAGATACGGCCACTCTACCCTGTCAAAAGCCTTATCAGCATCTAAGGACAGAATGGCCGTATCGCAAGCCCCCTTTTTAAGATGCAAAACATTAAGCAAAGTTCTGACGTTGTGAAAACCTTGCCTGCCCTTGATGAATCCATTTTGGTCTCTATGTATTATCTCAGGTAGAAGTGTCTCCAACCTCCTTGCTATAATTTTACTTAGTATTTTGACATCTGTATTAAGTAATGAAATTGGACGAAATGAGTCGCATTTTGTAATTAATTTATTAGGTTTAGGTATTAGCGTAATGAGAGCATGTCTTAAAGATTCTGGGAGTATACTATTTGTAAAGGATTCTTTAAGCATATTTAAAATGGGTCTGGTGAGTTGTTTTTTTTTAAATTTCTTGTAAAAATCCACATTAAGGCCATCTGGTCCTGGTGTTCGACCTGCTGTTAAACTGTCAATAGCTTCTATTATTTCTTCTTCTGTTATGTCCATGTCTAATGATCTTTTTGACTCTTCAGAGATATCAGGTATAGATAAACTATTTAGAAATTCTATTTGTGTACTATTATCTGCATATTCAGAGGAATATAAACTTTCAAAAAAGCATTTAAAAGTGTCATTTATTTTAATAGGGTCTACCGTGATATTACCACAATTATCTTCAATGGAATTTATTGCTTCTGTTTAATTCTCCAAGCTAACAATTTACTTGCCTTTCACCTTGATCGTAAAAATTTTGTCTGAACATCATTAGACTAGCTGCTGCTTTTTTAGCAGAAAGTTCATTATATTTCGTTGTAAGATTTAGTAGTTCCTGATTAATGTTTAGGTCATTTTTGCTTGATAGGTTTTTTCTATAAGTTTTATTTTAGTATCTAGATCTGTCAATTCTTTCTTATACCTTTTTGATTAGCTACTTGTAACACTTATAATAACACCTCTAATGAAAGCTTTAAAGGCTTCCCATCTGGCTGAGGTTTGTGTAGTGTTTATATCATAATACATGACCATCTGTTCTATAATATGTTTATTAAATTGGTCATCTAAGAGCCATTTGGGTTGAAATCTCCATTTTGGAGGGCTTCCCAGTAATTTAGGATCAATATAGGTAAGTGATACAGGGGCATGGTCTGAAATTACTAGAATCATATGAACAATCAACAATATATGGCATAAGTGTAGCTGAAATAAGAAAATAATCAATTCTAGAGTGAGACTTGTGTGTTTTAGAGAAGCAAGAATATTGAATATCTTTAGGGTGTAGCTGCCTCCATACTTCAACAAGGTTTAAATCCTTTATAAAATAGCCAAGGGTTTTTCTAATCTGTCTGTGGGATTGATCAAGGCCTGATGTACGATCTCTAACTGGATCTAATGTACAATTGAAATCTCCTCCCATAACATAATATCCAGAAAGATTGGATATGGTTAAGAAGAGGTTACTATAAAATTTGGGGATGTCATTATTAGGGCCATAGACATTAATAGGATTCAATTGTTTAGATAATAATGACCCTTGAACAATTACATATCTACCTAAAGGGTCCTGTATTATTTTATCTATCTGAAATGGAATTGATTTGTGGATCATTGTGATTACCCCTCTTGCTTGAGAACTAAACGATGCTGCATATATCTGACCTGGCCATCTATTACTTATTCTACCTATGTCTTTGGGCATTAAGTGTGTTTCCTGAAGAAAAACAATTTTACATTTTAGTTGTTTTATTCTAGACATAACTTGTTTGATTTTAGAGAAAGTATGTAACCCTCTACAATTCCAAGAAACAATTTTAACCTCAATAATACCAGTCATATCCTTCTATATTGTAAAATGATCCAAGCTTCTTCCATATTTTAAAACGTAAAAAACCCTGTACGTATAAAGATGAGTCATAAAACAAACTAAAAACAACAACAACATAAACATATTCCGATTTTAAATAGAAAATAAAAATATACTTATACACCACAGCTGTGAATTGCCGAGAACCGCCAGCAAATCCAGGTTCTTCTTTGCTTCTAACTTCCTTAACTAAATCAACCCAATTTAACTTTGGGTAAAGCAACCGTAAAGTACGATAGATCGCATCGGATTTTACCCCAGCTTATTAATTTAAATCGTCCCATTCTGAGGAGTTCGACATAATGTCTTAAATATTGCACACATTCATAAAGTGAAAACAAAGTTGAGAAAACAGCACCTGCTTAGATGTTCATTAGAAAGTCGTTAACTTCCGATGAATTTTGAAAGACATGAGCATGGCCATCAGTGGTTACTCGGAGGCGCGCTGGAAAGATGAATCCATAAATCAGTCCCTTAGCTCGCAGCTTCTTCTTTACTTCGTCGAACTGCCTCCGTTGTTTGTTTACTTCAGCAGAAAGGTCCAGAAAGAACATGATTCTGTGATTCTGGAATAGTACCTCTTTCTTTGCTCTGGCCGCACGCATCACGCGTTCCTTGTCTCTGTAATCCAGAAACTTTGCGATCATCACTCTCGGAGTTGCTTTTGTATCAGCTGCAGTTTGGCGCGCATAACCGATCTTGTGGGCTCTTTCTATGGCCAGTGGTTTTCAAAGTGGTCCCATGTCCAGCGCTTCAGGTAACCAGCTTTCTAAGAATGTACATACATCATCGCCCTCGGATTTTTCTGGTAAACCAAGAATCTTTAAATTTGAGCATCGACTACGATTTTCCAAATCGTCAATTTTCCAAGTTAGTGAGGTAATTTTCTTTTCAAGAGCGGTAGTAGCTGATTGAAGAGTGGAGACGGAATCTTCAGTTTGAGATATGCGTTCCTCTGCCTGCGTTAGTCTTCCGAAACATTCTGCTACATGGGTTTTGATATCGTGTACGGCTGAGAGGACAGTTTCGAACTGAGAGGCCATGTCAACTTTCATCGAGTTTATTGCTTGTATAATGCCACTTATTTCAGCGTGTAAATCGCCAGGTTGACCTCCGCAAAGCGGCAACGAATTTTCTCCGCCATTACTTCGCACTTCTTCCATGCTTTCGGAGTCAGATGTAATCTCTGTAGTTTCGTTTTTTCGCCGTTTGCTTTGCTGGTTTAGGTGACATCTTAAGCAGTGTTCAGTCTTGAATAATTTGAGTTTGAATGTTAAGTAAAACCGGGATAAATTTAGGATTTTTAAAGATATGTTACCGCTGGGCTAACTCGTGCGTCTCTTCAGCAAGGCGCCATAGCCGGAAGTCCGAGTTTGCTTCTTTTAATCGGATTTATTAACCCATTAATATTCAAAGGAATTACTTTTTATTTTTGCATATACTGAAATCAGATATTATTGCGAAGATCACGGTGACTGGAACAGAAAAACACAAACATAAAATCCTGAACCAAATAAAAAAGCATAACGAAAAAGGTCTCCTAACCTTAAAGTCTTAAATAAATTCTTAATGTGAGGGGAAAGCCTTCCTTCTCCAAAGGGCCCCTCTCCTTGCTGTGCATATTGCACAAAACATGTTAACAAGTATAATCAGCGCCCATATCTGGCAATATTATATTCTTTTATTTCCAGCAAGGTTTTCAAGTTATATATTTCTACTAATTATAGCAAGGGATTTTAAGTGTATAAAATTGAATTCCTTTATGTCTTCCTACCAGTATGGTACTCAATGATTCGAGTCTTGGTGTGTCGTTGGTTAGTTCGGTTAAATATCATTCTTTCCTTTAAATGATTTAAATGTCCATCTGTAAATCAAGTCAAGAAGTTTTACCAGCCTCTCGGAGTTCTTTGTTAGGATCTGTCAGGTTTTACTCTTCTTTCAAACAGAGCTAGTGTTGTCCCTTTAAAAGTCACAGTTTTCTCTTCTTCGATGTCACTCCAAACTTTGCCAAAATCTTTGTTTCTCTTTCCCAGAAATTCCTATAATAGTTTCTTCTTCGTTGTTTATTAGCCCTTTTTCTTTCAGATCTCTTGATGCCTCTGTCATCGAATTGTACATGACCTGCCCGTTTTCCAGAAAAGATTCTAAGTTTCGCCGGCGGTGATAATTGGAAATTAATCCATTTTCTTTAAGAATTTTTCTTATTGGAGCAAAAGCCCGTCTTTTCTGTTGGAATTCAGGTGGGTAATATTGGTCAAAGAAAATCCTTTATTCGTTCCAGTGTATTACTTTCTTTATCCATGCAAAGTGGAAGACCAGGTCCTTCGTTTTATTTTCCAGTAAGAATATCAACGCTGATCTAGGGTGTGCGTCAGCAGGTTGTTTTGGTCCGAGTACCCAGTGACACCATTGGATTTTAAGGTCCAATTCATTAAGTGACAGTTTGTTTTGCAATGCAATGCTAGCTGACAGGCTATCAGCTATCCTGTCCGTCTCTGATTTTTCATCTGTTGATTTCTCGTTTTTTTTCAGGTTTCAATAGTTGTTTTGTCCTAGCCTTTTTGTTTTTGTCCCCCTTCATGTTATTTAAATATGGCTTAGGTTATTACATATGATGTAAAACGGAGGATTAATACCAGTGTGTATGGGAGCGCTCTTTCTATGCTGCTACACTTGTCTACATCATACCGAAAACCATCCCATGTGTTTCTTAAGCTACCCCGAATGAGTAAAACTGCACACACTGATCATGTCTACGGTTTCTCTCCAGTGTGAACCCTCTCATGTGTTTTCAGGGTTCCTGAGTGATAAACCTCTTACTGCAGAGTGAACACTTGTACGTTTTTTATCCAGTGTAAATCCTCTGGTGCGGTTTCAATTCTGCAGCAGTAATAAAAGTCTTCTCGCACTCCAAGCACATTTACTCTCTCACACCAGTGTGGATCTTCATGTGTTTTTTAAGGTGTGATGAGTGGGTGAAACTCTTCCTGCACCGAGTGCATGTAAATGATCTCTTTCCAGTGTGGATCCTCATGTGTTTATTAAGGTATGATAACTGGTTAAAACTCTTCCCACACTGAGTGCATGTAAATGGTTTTTCTCCGGTGTGGATCTTCAAGTGTCTATAAAGTGATGATGATAGGCTGAAACTCTTCCCACACTGAGGGCATGTGAATGGTTTTTTTCCAGTGTGGATCTTCATGTGTCTATAAAGCGATGATGATTTGCTGAAACTCTTCCCACACTGAGTGCAAGTGAATGGTTTCTCTCCAGTGTGGATCATCATGTGTTGATTAAGCGATGATGATTGGCTAAAGCTCTTCCCACACTGAGTGCATGTGAATGGTTTCTCTCCAGTGTGGATCATCATGTGTTGATTAAGGTGTGATGAGTGGCTAAAACTCTTCCCACACTGAGTGCATGTGAATGGTTTCTCTCCAGTGTGGATCCTCATGTGTAGATTAAGATTTGATGATTGGCTGAAACTCTTCCCACACTGAGTGCATGAGAATGGTTTCTCTCCAGTGTGAATCCTCATGTGTTGATTAAAGGATGATAATTGGCTGAAACTCTTCCCACATGGAGTGCACATGAATGGTCTTTCTCCAGTGTGGATAATCATGTGTTGATTAAGGTTTGCTGAGTGGCTGAAACTCTTCCCACACTGGGTGCATGTGAATGGTTTTTCTCCAGTGTGGATCCTCAAGTGAATCTTAAGTTTGCTTTTGCTTGCCAAACTCTTTCCACACTGAGTGCAGGTAAAACAACCCTTGTCTCTCACTTTTAAAATACCATCAGTCTCTAAATAAGTTTTGTCCTCAATTTTGACACGATGTTCCTCCTCTTTACTCTCCTCATAGTCTTCAATTAGGTCTGAAAAAAAATTAAGTTTTTAGTAAATCATTAAAACTCATCGAAAGCTGAAGTGAAAAGGCTCTAAAACATTGTCTACACAAACCCTAATTTTAATGCACATTAAATGTAAAGACATAGCAGATCATATTTAGATTGATCTTGTCATATAAACCTCCTGGGGCCCATTACACACATTCCCATTTAAGTGTATTCTTATATGATAATTTTTGGTCATATTGATGAGACATAAATTTGAAAGCTGTAAATGGCCAGTTTTTCTATTTGTTTATATTCGTAATCACTTAAAACAACATGTTTTTGTAAAACAGATAGGGAATGTTTTTAATTCTGTGCCTGAATGGTAAACCTGTTAGAAAAAAAAAACAGCTGAATCTCTGAGTATTTGCCTCACAGACATGAGACATATCTGCATAAAGCCTTAAATCTAAACCTTTAAATGACAAATGTTCTAAGGGTTAGTAATCTGCAGTGCAGAATTTGAACACTTAACAGTCTCAGATCATCAAACAAATGTAAATATTAATCAAAGAGAACACAATTAAACACATTGTGCCGTTTTTAAGGTTTTTATTCTTAAAAGGAAGACAAAGTACTGAACTACATAGCCTTGTGTGAAAATGTTTTTCCCCATTAAAACATAACTTTACTTTTTCACACCAGCTTCAAGTTCTCTAGCCACACCCAGACCCGATTACTACCACATGTTTGCAATCAATAAATCACCTAAATATGACCTATCTGACAAAGTGAAGTAGACCAAAAGAGCCTCAAAAGCTAGACATCATGCCAAAACCTAAAGACCTTTAAATACAAATGAGAAAGAAAATACTTGTGTCACGAGTTAAAAAAAAAGTGAACTCAAATGCAGAAAAACAATGTGTTTGGGGAGTGAGTCCTGGAATAAGCAAAAGTCAAAGTAAACATCTGATCAGGTGAGCACTGAGAAAGTGCCGTGGGAAAAAACAACCAGACACTCACTCACTTGCATTCCTGCACACGAATACAGGGTGAGAAACAAAATAATATGCACACAAATGATTGATAACATACTGACAAACATGAAGGGAAATGATGTTGTATAAACAGAAAAAAAGGGAATCGAGAGCTCCTGTGACTGCAAATAAAAGCAGATAACGAAATAACCTGTAACCCAGAACAGAAGAGAGCAAATCTGTGAGGTATGGTGACAGTACCCCCTCCCTCAAGAATGCCCCCTAGCATTCCCTTAAGACTCACTGTGGATCTATTTAAACTGATCAATGAGAGAGCGGTCCAGAATATTCAGAGCCGGAATCTAACATCTCCCCTCTGGACCATAACCCTCTTCCAGTATACCCGATACTGATAATCTTTCTACCTCTCCTCCTCACAACAAGGAGCCAGTGCACTGTGGATGTGAATGCACCCTCAACCAGTCTGGGACGCAGAGGTTATGGGCTGCAGGGGGAGAGAAGAATGGGCTTGATCTTGGACATATGGAAAAAACAGATGAATGTCTTTAAACTTAGAGCTTAATTTGAACAAACACTAGACTGAGCACCTTGATAATAGAAAAAGGTCCAATAAACTTGGGTCTCAATTTATGTGAGGGAAAGCTGAGAGGAATGCCTTTGGAAGACAACCAGACTTTCTGACCACACATATATAGAGGGAGCAAACGCTTCATTCCTATTGCCAGTCCTTTTCTGGTGATCCTTCATGTCTAGAGGCATCTCTGAATGAAAAAATGCATAAGGAAACAATGGCATCTGGTTTTTGGGAAGAGAATACGCTTATTTCACATGGCCACCATTTTAAACAAAAAACCATTTTAACGAAAGCTAGGCTGTGGTGGGAAAACACATGGAAGTATAGGATCAGCACTGTAAACATTGCAACAACTAGCTGTGGACTACAAACCTCCAGCTGTTGCCGTGATTTCAAAGTGCAGATGGTGCCTGGCCATTGGTCTGTGGATGGTGCTCGTTAGAGGCTAGTAGTCGCCCCCAGCTGTCGGCAGAATTCTGCCCAAAACCTGGACACAAATTGCAGACCCCTGTCTAAAACCATGTCAACTAGGAGGCCAAGAATACGGAACATGTGGTCCAAGACAATGGCTGCTGTTTCCCTCGATGAAGATTATTTGAGGAGTGAAATAAAGTGAGCTGCTTCAAAAATCTGCCCAATACAGTGAGGACTACTGTGTTGCCACTGAATGGTGGTAACCCAGTGACAAGCCAACAAAAACTGACCAGTGTTCCACACCATTGAGAGCCACCAGAACCATTAGCCCCATTTCCACTATCGCACCAAAAGCGAGGGAGCCCAGGCCAGTCGCGTTTCCACTGTCACTTCCAGGGCCTGATCAGGCCAAAGCTGGGCTTCTTTGGAGCGAAATATAGGCTATAGCCTATTTTATTACTTGCCCTTATGTCCTGAAACACTTAACACTCTCCTTTCCTTTCGTTTTTAAATAAATTGCTCTTAGTCATTATATTTTCTAAACTTGAGGCCCTGGTATACTGAAAACTAACTGTCCTGGAGCTCCACCTTCCTTGATGTGTGGTGTCTTCCCAGTGATTTGTTTCTCATTCGGGGAGTAAGAAGGAGAACATCATCCAAAACAACACTAGCTACATGAATACACTGGAGAGTGGAGTACAGATGTATCCGCACCTGTACAATCACTTGCAAACAAAGATTTTAAGCCGCTGAGATACTGTTTGCCAGATGTTTATTAAACTATTCTTCTCTCAGCCGCCAGCAATGTTTACGGTAAACGCGATGAGCGCAACACATTTACAACCCCACCTACTGCAGTGTAGGAAAACAGTATACCATCACTCAGCCTTTTCAAACATTATTTAGACATGAAACATCCTGTGCTTGTTTTGCTGCATTCAGGTCATGTGTGCAACTTTTTGTCCAATTGTAAAGACACTGATCAGATCTGTACGGTTTCTCTCCAGTGTGAATCCTCTTTTGTGTTTTCAGATCTGTTAACTGATTAAACCTCTTGTCACAGTGTGAACACTTGTAGGGTCTCTCCAGTGTGAATCGTCTGGTGCAGTTTAAATTTGAGCTGTAATAAAAGTTTTCTCACATTCAAGCACATATACTCTTTCACACTAGTGTGGATCTTCATGTCTACATTAAGGTTTGCTCATCAGTTGAAACTTTTCCCAACACACTGAGTGTATGCGAATGGTCTTCAGTGTGGGTCTTCATGCGTTTATTAAGGTCTGATGAGTTGCTAAAACTCATCCCACACCAAAGCTGCAATTACACTAGAGTTTGAGCATGAGAAATTCTTTTGTACGATGCTGCGAAAAGGGGCGGGATTAAACAAAATGATTAGACATAAATGGTTTCTCTTCAGTGTGGCTCATCATGTGTCGCTTAAGGGATGATGATTGGCTGTAATTCCTCCCACACTGAGTGCATGTGAATGGTTTCTCTTCAGTGTGGATCCTCATGTGTAGATTTAGGTCTGATGAGCAGTTAAAACTCTTCATACACTGAGTGCATCTGAATGGTTTCTCTCTAGTGTGGTTCCTCATGTGTTGATTAAGGTTTGATGAGCAGTTAAAACTCTTCCCACACTGAGTGCATGTGAATGGTTTCTCCCCAGTGTGGATCCTCATGTGTTGATAAAGGTTTGATGAGCTGCTGAAACTCTTCCCACACTGAGCGCATGTGAATGGTTTCTCTCTGGTGTGGATCCTCATGTGTTGATTAAGGTGTGATGAGCAAATAAAACTCCTCCAACACAGAGTGCATGTAAATGGTTTCTCTCCAGTGTGGATCCTCATGTGTAGATTAAGGTACGATGATTGGTTGAAACTCTTCCCACACTGAGTGCAAGTGAATGGTTTTTCTCCAGTGTGGATTTTCATGTGTAGATTAAGGTGTGATGATTGGTTGAATCTCTTTCCACACTGAGTGCATGTGAATGGTTTCTCTCCAGTGTGGATCCTCATGTGAGTCTTAAGAATGTCTTTTCTTTTAAAACTCTTTCCACACTGAGTGCAGGTGAATTGATTCTTGTCTCTTCTTTTCAAAATATCATCAGTCTTTAAATGAGATTTTTCCTCAATTTTGACATGATGTTCCTCCTCTTTACTCCCCTCATTCTCTTCAATTAGGTCTGAAATAAATAAATAAAACATTAGTTTCCATTAAGTCTTAAAAACTATCAAAACTGAAAAGTGAAAAGACACTGGAAGCCTTGGCTACACACTGTAATTTTAATGCACATTAAATGTAAATAAATCAGATCATATTTTGTTTGGTCCATTAACATGTACACATTTAAGCAGATTCAATTCATCTTTATTTATCTAGTGCTTTTACAATGTAAACTGTCAAAGCAGATTAACATAAAAGTTATAGTAAATGGGCTCTATGCACAAACTCTGCTGACGTGTTTCCGGTAGAATATCAGTCAGGCTCTTCCGCATAGCGAAATCTGATAGTGGCGATTTCGTTCTACAGTGAAATCTAATAGCGGTGAAACCTAAACAAATCAGAGCATGGCAAAGAAGGAAGATTGAAGGATCTAGTGCCAGTGGATGCTGAGCATCTGAAACATCATTATTGTTGATTAATACACCAGATCAGACTAATAATCACAGTGAAGAGGTAGAGTAACTGAAAGGAGACTGCTTCAATGCTACTTTTAGTGATGTTAAAAGATTCTAAAGGTACAGTAAAAATGATGTACTAGAATTTAACCCAGATGAAAGTAGTAACAAGTTGTAATTGTATTTTATATAAAATATTAAATTTTTAACCATATTATAGTAAATTATATTATACTGTATATACTGTATACATGCATATACACACCCACATCAAACATTCTAGTATCATATAAGAGGTCAATAACAAACTAAAACAAATATGTTAAGCACAAGTCTACTCAAAACCTAATGCATTTCTATCTGATTTATTCATTTACATCCTACAACATCTAGAGTAACGCGTTCAGAGTAAGAGCAACTGTGAGGGAGAAGCCATCCTTCACAAGACTATAGGTTCACACTGAGCATCTCATCCACAGGGTGAAGCAACAAGCTGGACAGTCATTATCTCTTTCTATTACAGCAAGCATCAACCAGATTTACACAATGGCTTGCCTTCTGCTCATCAGTAAAAGCTTAAGCTAAAGATTACAAACATAAATAACAGAACAATTTGAGTGAACATTTGCTCTGCACTAATGTAAATATATAAATCACTGTAGATACTTGCACTAATGTAATTATGCAGAGTTTATTGTGCAGAATTATGTGATGTACCACCTCCGCCTTCAAGCAAAAATCAGGCAGGCAACTTCTGTCAGACCCCCAGTGATGCTCAATAATGCAAAATGCATTTGTTTCAAGTAGCAAAAATGTAACAAATGGGATACCCTCTTAAACAAATTTTCAACAAGGAAAACCCCAAACTATCTAAATATAAGTAATTAGACATTTGCACTGCAGCATAAATATAAATAATTTTTTTGACACGTGTAAATTTGACAATTTTAAACAAAAAAAGTTGTGTGAGTGTGTTTGTTCAAATCTGCAGTCATCTTGACAGGTAAAAGTAAAAAAAAAAAAAAAAAAAAAAAAAGTTTGGCTTCCCCTGAAACAATTTGATGTTATTGTAGATGAGCTGGATCCCGAGTATAAATAACCATCCCGAGTATAAATAACCTTTCACTCAAACTATGCAGCTTATCTGACTTCACTATCAACCTGAAATTCTGATCTCCCGTCACTCCACCCTTATAGGACAGTGAGAAATAACCCATAGTTAGTAACGTTTATACTAATGGATATTGAGGACACAATGTACACATACATGTAAATAGATAGACAGGCAGATGGATAGAAATGATACAGGTAATTAAAACAACATAAAAATCAATATGAACTATGAGGAAAAAAAAGATATGGCTAGCATTTAATTGCTTTTCTTATATATAGCATAATAATACTCACCCTCAAAATGATCGATGCAACTCGAAATGTAGAATTTTAACCCCTTTTCTTCTTTGCTGTTTGGTGTGACAGCTCTCTGTCTCACGATTCCATTATTGTCCTTCATGGTAATGCAAGGAAACTTTTATAAACAACGAGTGTAATCTATCATCATCACTTGCTCCATCCGCTTACAGTGATCGTGGTGCTGTACCAGAAGTTGACATGAGGGCTAATCGCAAACGCGGAAGAGATCTTGCATAGAGTCCATTAAAACTGTGTCAGTCGGGGGGCGCTGCCGAGCGTGATGGAGTAAACACGTGTTTTCAGCGCTCCTATATAATCTTAAAAAATTGTTATATTAACAGCTGTTTAATGTCCGGGAATGAACAGTATTTGTTCTTGCAAACGAACAGAAGACCTCGTTGATAAAATACAGTCAAGGATGGTAGCGAATCTCCATAAATACAAGTATTCTGGCCCTACCACCGTAAGGCCTGAAGCCTCGGGGCAGAGTAGTTCCAGTGAGCCTGGATCTCCTTCTGGACGGCCTGACGATACAAATACTGTCTTCGAGAAGATAAAGGCGGACATTCTCTGCTCCTTAAGAGTGGACAAATGATTTGTAATAACGAAAAAAATTGAAGAACGCATTGACAGAGGATTTTGATGCACTTAAATCTGAACTACAGGCTATGAGACCCGAAATCTTGATTAATGCCAAAGCTGTGCGTTGACAACATTAAGGATGTCGAGGGAGGACTCTCAACTTGGTCAGACGAGATGGTCACTCTCCAGGCAACTGTAACTAAACTCACAAGACACGTCGACGACTTAAAAGAAAAATGTGAAGATATGGAAGGGCGCATGAGAAGGCGGAAACATACTGTAATCTCCGAGCTCCCGGGATCAAAACTACAGCAGTATTCAAACTGCTAAAAAAAGTGCTTCAAATGGACAGAGATGCCAAAATTAACCACTCACATCATAGCCTTGTTCCAAAAAGGCCAGGGGACAAGCCTCGTACCATAACCGCAAAGTTACATTACGATGGAGATGCCGTGGAGATCTTACAAAAAGCCAGAGAATGCGCACTTCTCATTTACAACGTTAATCAAATCACCATCTTTCAGGATTACGCCGCCAATGTTGCAGGGGCAAGAGCAGTCTTCACTGATGTCAGGAGAGCTCTTCGGGGGCAACAGGACGTGCAATATGGACAGCTTTTTCCAGCAAGGTTCCGAATTTCACACAATGGAAAAGAAAAGTGGTTTCAGATTGCGTCCGAGGCAATGGATTATGTGAAAAAGAAAATCATATCTGACAATCAATCTAACAGTTGACACTTATTCTACCTGAAGATTACAACACTTAACGATGAGTATCCTGCATTCAAACTTATTAGGTGATAATCCACTCTCGACTCATTACATTGGATTTGACTGATCATTACAATTGATTTCCCTGAGGTATATGTTTTCTTCCATGGAATGAACGGATTAGCTAACTTTATACAGCAGTTTTTATGCTTGGAAAAACACGTCTCTGTTTATGAAGCTGTTAATTTTGAGTTTCAAAAATTATGGTTCTGTAGGAGTCTGAAACACTGCGTACGCCGAATAACACGCATATTCTCGTACATTCGAATGAACGTGAAACTGAGCGCAACATGGAAGAGCGCAAAACCCCTCCTTGCCTCCTCCCCCGAATGAATATGCTAATGACTCTACTTTGGCAAAACCCAACAAAAAAGCAACGGCAAAAGCAAGCCAAATGAGAAACTTTGAATAGAATGTTAATTGGAGGTGCTGCTTTCGGAGGTAGACCGGAGAAAAACTTGTTATTTGTAAGTTTGTTCTCCGGAATTAATAACAAAAGAAAAAAAAATAGAGTGGGACAGTTGAGCTGATGCTTTTAACACAGTTAAGTTTGAACATAGCACTGAGTGGGTTAAAAAAGAGATAGTATGATTTATAGGTTTAAAATTTTGCAGCGTCTTTAACAGTGTGAGTGGCGTAGCTTGTAAAACGCATGGTAAAATGTTTTGACACATTCGAGCAAGAACTCAGTTCGAATCCAGCCTCTGATGAACTCATCCCCCCCCACCCCAATGTTCCAATGTCTTTTTATTTTATTCTATTTTTTTCTTTTATTACTTAATTTTATTTACTTAAATATTTATTGTTTCTTTAACTTAGTAAATATCCATAAAGATCTTGAGCGTAGATTTATATTGCTAAATGGCTCAATGGATAGCATTGAACTATCACTCATGAATATATATGCTCCAAAGGAGGATAGACCGGCTTTTATTAAAAAAAGTTTTCAACACAATTATACAGCATAGCTCAAGAATATTAGTAATTAGAGGAGACTTCAATTGTACTATGTAACAACACTTAGATAGACAACCCATATCCAATACCCCATGCTCGCGAATGAGTAAAATAATAAAATCTCAATCTTCAGAACTTACGTATGATGTATGGCGAAGCAATTTTCCAAATCACAAAGACTTCACATTCTATTAACATAGCCATCAGTCTTACTCCAGAATAGATTATTTTTTTACTTCCAGAGATGAGCTGCACAGAATAACTAGTATGAAGATATTACAGATGGCCACGTCGGACCATTCACCAATAGAAATATTATGGGACACCTCAGACGTATCTCCACTAATCGTATGGGACTGCGCAAAAGCATATATTAGAGGTAGGATGCACGTGAAGTTGCTGAAGTAAAGGATCAAACTTTGATGCATCACTTGCTTTTGTTCATATCTCGGACAGTTCTACCTATTATAATTTATTAAAATATTATTGACAGCAGAACATGGGTTGCTCTATACATATTTTTATTATGGCAAGAATAAAAGCAAAAAAAAGGTACACCTT